CCCCAAAACCCTCACTGGACGCAAAGCCCTCTGCAACTTCTCACGTGAAGACCAAATTTTGTTTAATGACCTCGTTTCTATTTCGCTTCGTGGCTGTAACTACATTTACGGGTTTTTTTTTTAATCTCTACTCGACCCGAGCTCTTCAATCACGATTTTGATACAAGTCACGTGGAGTACAGCATCACGTGTGCGCGTCACAGACGCTAACCCGCAGCACGTGGCAAAGACAAAGATTCCCCCCCCCCCCCCCCCCACCCCGTATAACCTCTGTCGGTGTTGCTGTTGGCCTATCGCCGTCGTTCCGCGGTCTGTCACCGGCGGGAGGGCTGGCTGTCTCCCGTGTAGGGCCCAAGCAGTTTCCAGGACGGCGCGTCGGAGGATTTACCGAAGGGCCGTTCCGTTTCGGTGTGCGGTTTGGTGCGGACGTCGACGGCGGCTTGCGACAACCGGTCATCTGTTTGACAAAATGAGAACAGGTTACAACCCTTCCTGGCAGCAAAACAGGTGTTAAGATGTTCAAACTCCCAAACAGATTGCCTTTGTTTTGCAAATGCATCGTCGAACTCTGCATTAAATGCTCTGACACGTGTGGCATTGTCTTTGTGCTGTTCGCCTTTTGGCGTTGTTCTCTGTTCTGACACTGGTGGTGAGATGAGGCCATCAAGAAGGGTGTCTCCGGTGTAGGCAAATCAGTTTCAAAGGGCGATGCATATTTTATCAGATGTTGTTTGCATGTCCACCCCGAGTACGTGTGGTGAATGCAGACACGATGCCTCGCAAAAGGTATCTATTTGACGTGTGAACATCTGAACACATGCTTTATTGGCAGAAAGCGGTAACACCTATTCCTTATTTGTCGTACTTTGATACTGGCAAACAAAAGGTGCCGTGATATCGGCGTCTATTTGATGTGTGAACGTGTTAACACCTCCGGTATTATTTCCGGAAAGGGGCAAACGCCTATCCGATGTTTTGCCATCAACAATCATTAGATTTGTTGTTTATCTCATGGCAGTGTTGGTTGTCCACTATTTTTAGGAAACGGTTCACAACGAATTTGCTTTTGTTTTGGCGTCAGATGGCCCGTGTAAGTAGCATGTGCGTTGTGCACCCTTCTCCACCCGACACAGCCAATGGATATACTGCAGTTTAACACGTAGGCTTTGGCGACCAATATTATCCATAATTTAGGGGTTTTTTTTGGGGGGTGGGGGTTTTAGATAGCGTAAAAATAAATGTGTCGTTAAACCCGCCACCACCCGAAGCGGCCAAATTAGTGAGGTTCGTCACGTAAACAGAACGTGCCAATTCGTTACTAGTTCAGCACACCGGACGTGTCGGAGAGTAAACCCACCGCAACATTTTACAATTCGAGTACCGTGGTGAACAAACGCTGCCAATGTCATTACCGCTTCGGCAACACCTCCGGCGTGGCGGTGAAGATCGTCCCACTCTTATCGGGACATCGCTTCAAGACAACGGACTACTACACAAGTAGCTACTACACAAGTAGCTATATGTGTAGGAGCTACTACACAAGTTACACATGTAGCTACATGTGTAGTAGCTACATGTGTAGTAGCTACGTGTGTAGTAGCTACATGTGTAGTAGCTACATGTGTAGTAGCTACATGTGTGGTAGCTACTTGTGTAGTAGCTACATGTGTAGTAGCTACATGTGTAGTAGCTACTTGTGTAGTAGCTACATGTGTAGTAGCTACATGTGTAACTTGTGTAGTAGCTACATGTGTAGTAGCTACTTGTGTAGTAGCTACATGTGTAGTCGCTACATGTGTAGTCGCTACATGTGTACTACATATGGAGTAGCTACTTGTGTAGTAGCTACTTGTGTAGTAGCTACATGTGTAGTAGCTACATGTGTAGTCGCTACATGTGTAGTCGCCACATGTGTAGTAGTTACTTGTGTAACTTGTGTAGTAGCTATTTGTGCTATGTGGACATAATCCGGCACTGCCTGCGACCGTGGCTCGAGTGGAACGATGGCCTGAGCCGAGTGGCGAGCGCGCGCCATGGCCACTGGGGACCTCCCCCACCCACCCACCCGGCGTGACCCCCACACGGGTGAAGGTCACGAGTTCACTTGGGGGGTGTGGTTGGTTGGGGGGGGGGGGGTTAGCGCGCTGCACTCCAAAGGCCCACGGGCCGTGGTCGATTCCGCGCTCACGGCCACCAACGACAAAGTTGACGATCGTGCGAATCGGTCTCCCGCTAGATCGACTCAGCCTCAAATGAGCCGAGGTGTCGTCAAACGTGGACCACTCGGGAGGCAAAGGCGGCCGTGCTTGGTGCTGGCTACCCAGCCGCCCCACGTGTGCCGTGCTGGTAATTAATAGGTGCTCGCTGCTCGCTAACAGCACTTGCCCCAACAGTCTGTCAAGGCTATACGGGGGAGGGGGGGGGGAGTCTTTGTCTTTGTGGGGTGGGAAAGTCGAGGTTGGCCGTGCCCAGCTCCCCCACCACTGCACCCAAACCTCCACACCACATTGTGTGTGTGTTTTTTTTGTGTTCGGGCCTTCCTGCTTTTGCTGGGAAATAACAAAACCAAAAAGAAATTAGTTTTTTATTTCTCTCTACGACTACAACAACAGCAAAGAAGCCAGCGGTCGAGTGGTCGTGGTGGCGTCGCTCGCTCGTGCCTCGACCCCGTGGGGCCGAGGAAGGGGAGCTGACGGTGCAGCGGCGGCGGGGGTGGTGGTGGAAGTTTTCCGTACTCCGAAACGAAATTTACCGACGAATTCATTCGTAAAAAATCTACCACGGTACCGCATGTTTATGGGTTTTTAAGAAAAAAATCTCGATAGAGGCCAATATGGGACCTTAATAGGGTTAAACCTATTCGTGTACTTTGATACTGGCAAGAGAGGTCCCATAATGTAGCTGCTGCCACCGGGCTGTAAATGTCCTGATCGTGGCATTATTGTCCTTGCACCGTTCGCATGTTGGCGTTGTTTGGTTTAAACATTAGTTTGAGACGAGGCTCTAAAGAAAGCTGCCACTGGTGTGGACCAAACAGTTTCAAGGACAATGCATCATCATGTACTATATTATCGGAGCATGTTTTATCGTCTGCATGCTCACCGCAAGAGCCGCACGTGGTTAATGCACACAGGGATTCCTTGCAAAAAGTTTCTGTTTAACATCTTCACGCCTCCTGTTTAATTGCCAGACACGGTTACACCTATTTCACGTTTTTTGACAGAGGCCGACTATGGCTTACGAGCGGAAGGAACTGGCCATCGAGCGTGATGAATCAAAACAACAAAGAAAACGTTGAGGTGTCAGATCGCCGCACGTACGTTTGACATATGTCGAACTTCTTTCGCGCCGTACGTAGCCAACAGGTGCTTACCGGAGGTGCCGGGGAGCGTAACGATTACGAACCAAACGACGCCACGATGTGTGCTGTGTGTGCGCGTGTGCCGTAGACACTTCAGCAACCACCGGGCGTGATAGAGAAGAGCTTCAGCTTCTTCTTCCTCGTCTTCCTCTTTCGTACGGCTCATGATGTCGAAGCAACGACTTCAATTTCACATTCAGGTGGCCAAGCCCAGATAACCACGGAGTCGTGTATCATCATCAATCATCATCATGAATCATCATCGCCGCCACCGCTGCCGTGATGTCTCCTTCGTGTGTGCAGATCGGTTCCGCTGCGTCGCTACACGGCTGCGTACGGTCAGCGCTGGATGCCCAACAACCGCACGCTGCCGGAGAACTTTTTTGTTTAAGATTCCCATTGATGTTGCATCGGGTGTCATCCACATCTACTGCCGCCTTGGTTTGCGCGAACGCGCGGATCAGGGCGGACCCGCGAGCGGGCTTCGCGGGGAAGATCGGAGCCAGGGAGACTTCTGCGTTAGGGCACGGGGAGCGGCGATCGAGCGTTGACACGAACACAAAAATAACCATTAAGACCTCCGAGTCTTGAGACTCGGTGACACTTTGCTGGGTAAATAAAACTCCATTCCTGAGCGACGCCAGGGGCATCGCAGTTCTCTCGGGGGGGGGGGGGGGACGGGCAGTAACGCTATAAAACTATAAACTATTTTTTGTTTTTTTGTTGTACCGGGCAAGGCCCACGCAGAGCTATGTAGCTCTTTTTTTCAGAAGCCACCCGCCTATCACAAATGGATAACGCAACGAAGCGGTTTATCGTCGCCAAGTGGAAATGCGTAGCAGTGGCCAAATACTGGGAACGCGTGACGTTGATTCTAAACGTGGAGGGAAAAAGCGGAGGACACCGAGAATAAGTCTACGCGACCACGGGGAGAGAGACACCGCAAACTCCAAATATACAGCAGCAGCAGCAGGCGTCTGGTTTGGGATCGAACCCACGACCTCCTGCATACCAGGCGAGGTAGTCAACATCTCACTACGGCCGCAGTGGTGACGCTATCCCTAGGGGACACCCCTTGGGGACGCCCCTCCTGTGGTTGGGTCACGGTTTGGTGATGGTTGGGTGGCTGGCGCAGCGGTTAGCGCACCGCTCTACGAACCCGGCCACGCGAGTTCAATTCCCGCCCACGGCCACCACCAGCGACGATCATCTTGAACCGTTCCTGAGCCTCCTCCCATAGATCTACTCAGCCGTAAATGAGTACCAGGTGCGGTGTGCAGCAAACATCGCCACTGGGGAGACAAAGGCGGCCGGGCGTGGTGTTGGCCACCCACCCCCTCGTGCCCCGTACCGGCCTTCATAGGTGCTGCTACTCGCGAACAGCACTTGCCCCAACCGTCTGTTAAGGCTACACGGGGGTGGAGCTTTGTCTTTGGGCGGGCTGGCGGGCTGGCGGGCGTGTGGTGGGGGTTGGTGGGCGGGGGAGCGGGCGGGTGGGTGGGTGGGGGGGTGGGTGGGTGGGTGGGGGGGTGGGCGGGTGGGTAGGTCACCGTTTAGCGATGGTGGGTGGGGGGTGGTGGAGGCGGACTGGGATTTAACTTCCCGACCGCCGGCACGCCCGAGTTAAGAGCGAGCTCTCACCGATGCGGCAGGCATCGCCCCACGTTCGGAGGCCCACGGCAGTCGGGGCATTACGCACAAATCTCACCAAAGTGTCAAACGGATTTTAAAAATAATATATCTGAATATATATTTGTATATCAGTCGTTCAAACATTTTTTTTTCTCGATCGCTGCATGAACCTAACGAGCTGCGTGCTGCTCCAACATCCTGAGTGTTATTCAGAATTATTTAAACTGGAGGAATACGATGAGCTATTAAGCTATGTTTCACACACGTTCAAACTCTCCTCGGTTTTAATTTAAATGCAGGATTATAAGAATAATAACCATTATTATTTTTATTGATTTAAAACATTGTTCACACAAGCAGTGGACATTCCTTGAAGACGTCACTGCGAGTCAGCTGAGAGACCCAGGTGAGTGTCTGACCCCGCGATGTCTGGATTTGGGCTATTTAGCACCGGTGATTTTCTCTACTCCGACTCCTGCCTGACAATTGTCGATCTGCAAAGTTCAATAGGCTGCTGATGGACCACAACGCGTGTTCGCGTGCGGTTGCGGGACGGCGTTATGCTCGCACAGTGTTCGGTGCTACGCATCACGCCGCACGGCAATGCGTTACGGAATTTGTGTACACGGCATCACTGCCACCAAATCACTCGCGGAATGCGCCGCGATCTCATGAAGCTCGGCAGTGGTCGGTCGGGTGACTGCCATAGCATGCCAGAATGCAATCACGTTGAGTGCGGTGGGTTGAAGCGTGGGTCTTCCCAACATAAACCATCATCGCGAAAAACTCCGTGCCATCCTCGCAGCAGCGGCTTTTGGCTGGGCCATCGAACAGAGACGGCAGTCACCGCATTGCGCGCCCTTCAGATGCGCTTCTGCGGCCGTCTGGAACGCTCTTCCGATATTTGGAAGCCACTGGAGCCATGCACTTTTAAATGACGTAGGTTGAAAACTAATTTCTTTAGAACTACTTTTTGTGTTTAGTTTGTTGTCCTTCCCCCGCACCTCCGATTAGCACGGTTGGCTACGTACGGTGCGAAAGAAGTTCAACGTACACACATAAACTAAAAGTGGGGGGCTACACTTATTGAGCTAACTAAAGTGGATGCATCTTGACTTAAAAGTTTTCCTGACTGCAGGAATTCATATTCTTTGGGTCTTTCGGTAAAGTCACGTCGATGTGTTCAAAGAAAATAACAAAAAAACCACGACGTTTCGACCGCTTGTGTTGCAATCGAAACGTAGTTATTTGTTATTTTCTTTGAACCTATCTACGTGACTTTACCGAAAGACCAAAATAATATAAAGTTGATGCATTTCTGCCAGCAGTGGTGCGAGCAAGCAATTGCAGGTCTGCGCTTTTGGGTGGGGAGGGGGTGCGTTGGGTGGGGGGGGTGGGGGGCCTCCGTAGAGCTGCCGGGAAGCTCTACACACTTGCCAAGAGGCGAGGCGACGGGGCCACGTGGTTCGTAAGGGTCGCCTAAATTCCCCCTGTCCCACCGATCCCCATCCCCGACCCACAGAACTGGTCTGAAGCTTACACAGGGATGTGTGCGAGTGACATCCAACGTTTAAGCCAATGATCCCTGTAATCCACGGTCGAAAGTCACCCAAAGCAGAGCTGGCCAGGTGCATCGGGTGACTCGGGAGATAGGGTGGCGGGGGGGGGTTGGAAATTATTCAACTTTTTTTACTTTACAGTAGGCAATGTTAAGTGTTCCCAATTTTCAAATTAAGATGAGAAATCTGAATATATTTGGGGGAGGGGGGTGGGGGGGATTTCGGACCGATCCAAAATAGTGACGTCACAGGAAAGGGCGTCTCTAACAATGGCATCACGGCCGCCATTTTGCAGCGGATGGAGGTCACGTGACGTCGGGTAAGACGTCACTTTTGTAAGCAGGAAGTTTCGTTAAATTGATACGTAACGTAAGCTTAACATTTTTTTGAAGGAACAAATACTCAAAATTATCCCTAAATATCCGATGAAAAGCATCACTCACACCTACGCCAATGTAACCAGTCTTCCCCGTGCCAATTCGACACATTTTTACGATCTGGGGATTGCAATTCGATTTGGGCGTCGATGAATATTCATTTGCTTTCTCATTTTTTCGTTGCATAGCCATCGATTTCAATGTGCACATTGAATCACTACGCCATGTCCCTTCACGGATAGATGGGGGGATAAACGGGTACGGCACGGGCTCGAGAAGAGATGGAGTGGTACAGGAGGATGTGGAGCTGAGTGATGACCGGTACCAGTGGTGTCAAGATCGGCCTCTGTGGAGGAGGAGGCCGGTACGGGGCACGAGGGGGTGGGTGGCCAACACCACGCCCGACCGCCTTTGTCTCCCCCAGTGGCGATGTTTACACACCGCACCAGGTACTCATCTGAGGCTGAGTCGACCCAGGGAAGGCCCAGGACCGGTTTAAACAATCGTCACCGGTGTTAGCTGTGAGCAGGAATCGAACTCGAGTCGCCAGGTTCGTAGCCAGCAAGCGCTCACCGCTACACTCCACGAGCACGCACACACACAAAGCAAGACGCCTATTGCCAACAAAAATGTTGAAGGCTGTAAATCAGCCAGGGTCCCAGAGCCGTGTAAAGGGCCTCGCACGCACGTTGCCCCCCCCCCCCCCCCCCACTCTACCCGGCCGGGCCTTCAACTCTTTGACAGACGGTGACATGCGGAGAAGCAGGATTCCTCTTCTGAGCGGCTTCTACTTCAACCCCCCCCTTTTTTACTACCCCCCGCCCACCCAACCCTGGCCCCCCCCCCACCTCCAGCCCTGCCCCGACCCCCACTCCCGCCCCTCTCTGCTCATCTGCCTCTCACCTGCCTCTCACTCAAGCCTCAAGGTCCGCCTCCCCGGAATAACGAAGCCAGCAACGGCGTGTGCAGCGATACACGGCCATGATGGGACCTCACGTGCGTGATCTGTGTTGAACGTCAAGCGGCCTACTGAACGAGACAGACGCCCACACGCAGGAGTCGAACCCAGGCTCTGTGCGTCGCTGGCTTCAGTGTCTACGACATGGCCACTACGAACCCTCAGAGAGACAGACCTACCCACACCCAGGATTTCAGAAAATGTATTTATACTGGAGGAATCCGATGAGCTATAAAGCTCTTTTTCACAGATGTCAAGTATGGGGCGGGTCACAAAACGTTACAACAACGAACGAAAGGTAAACTGGCACGTTTTCTTGCTGATATACTGCGACCTTTCACTGGAAAAACCACCTCTGCGGTACTAAATTCTACTCACCTGGTATCGACAATCAAAGGCATTTCCCTGTCCCCAAACGACCTGCTTGTCAGTTTTGATGTGGTGTCCTTGTTCACCAAAGTCCCGGTACCTGACACCATCGCTATCATTGAAGACCTGGTTCATCAAGGACTGCATACTGATGTACCCCCCCTGGTGAGACATTGCTTAACCAACACATACTTCACCTGGAATGGAACTTTCTACAAACAAACTGAGGGCACCCCAATGGGCTCCCCCCTATCTCCGGTTGTAGCCAACGTATTCATGGAAAAATTTGAAACTGACGCCATCCAGACTGCCACTCTACGCCCGACTTTATGGAAGAGGTACGTTGATGACACCTTTGTCATCTGGCCACATGGCCAGCCTGCTCTAGACCAATTCCGCGACTACATCAATTCCATACACCCAGCCATCAGATTTACCATGGAGGTCGAAAAAGATGGCAAACTACCCTTTTTGGATGTCTTAATTAAAAGGAGACATGATGGTTCAATGAGCCACTCTGTCTACAGGAAAGCTACCCATACAGATGCTTACTTGAAACCGGATTCCCACCACCATCCATCCCAGAAGAACTCCTTCATCAAGACTCTATACCATAGAGCCCAATGCATTTCCGACCAGGAACACATTACCAGTGAACTCAAGCACGTACACCAGGCTCTCAGGGCTAATGGCTACTCCGACTACACAATCCGCAAAGCCATCACTCCAGTCATGAAGAAGGATCCTCTTGTGGAGCCACTCAAAACCATCACCTTACCCTACATTGCAGGGGTCACTAAAAAGATCTCCAAAATCCTGAATAAACACAAGATCCAGGCCCGATTCAACACAGTACATAAAATCCGTGATTTAGTTCCATCTGTAAAAGATGCTGTTCCAGACATACAGTACCCGGGCGTTTACAAACTAAAGTGCCTCTGTGGTAGTAGCTACATTGGAGAAACCAAAAGACATATCTCGGACCGCATCCGCGAACATAAAGCAGACTTGAAACACGGTAGGACGAACTCCTCTGCCGTGGCAGATCACTGTTATAATTCAGTGGGCTCACATGACATTGACTTCTCCAAGACGGAGGTTCTTTGCAAACCAACCGGCTACCATGAGAGATTCGTTCATGAGGCCATTCACATATACAAGCACAGAGACAATTTCAACCGAGAAGATGGATTCTTGCTTAGTAACCACTGGAAAGATGTTTTAAATCATTTCTGTTCTTAATTAATTGTATTTTTACGATGACCTTCAGACCGCAGCTCTTTCGCCAGCATTGCCTCTTAATACCTCTCACACCACGGTTAATGGTATGGTTTTACAACATGGAGTATTCTAACGGCCTCGCAGCTGTCTCTCTCCCCTTCCTCTGTTCCGACCATGGACGAACTCGTCCGTCTGAACGGGGCCCGTAGCTATCCGTGGTGCTAAAGTTGAGGCTTAAAGGTCGCGATCTGAACGTGGCTCTTTCACTCCAGCGCTGTCCTACCAGACAGTCTCGTCCCTTCACCTGATGAAGGCCGCTTGTGTTGTGGCCGAAACGTCGTGAGAATATTATTGTGTTATTTTATTTTATCAATTTATTATTTTATTCTCATTCTACGTGACTTTACCGAAATAACCAAAGAAGATGAATCATTGCAGTCACGAAAGCTTTAAATCGAAATGTAAACAAATAACTAAAAAAAAAATACAAATAAAACTAAACTTTTTTAACCTTACCAGATACGCTATCTAACATCACCCGCCCACCAACCGACCTTCATAGGTGCTCGTTAACGGCACTTGTCCCAACAGTCTGTTTAGGCTATGCGGGGGGAACTTTTGTCTTTGTACGCGTGAGATCGATGTCCATTCGGTGGTCAGCGGTGAGTCGAACCTTGGCCCATAGCCAAGGTTTTCGGGTTAGATCGCGTAAGGATACATGTGTCGTAACCCTCCACCACCCCGACGCAGCCAATTAGTACGGGGTTTGTCACGTTAACAAAACGCGCCAATTAGTTGACTGCTTGAGCCCACCGCTGTGTTGGATAGGTTCAGTGATGACGTCATCTCGCTCTATTTAAGACCGGATGGAGGTGGATTGCTTCACTATTGTGGCAAATCGCCCGATGATGCTGAACGATGT